TGTGAGTATATTTGTTAGGTTTTAGAGAAAACTCTCCTTGTCTTTTAAAGAAGCTGAACAAGGGTTCGAAAACGCTACATTTGAATTTCTTAAAACAACATTTTTCGGGATAGCACCTTTGTCCTTGAAAGCGACCATTGTGCCGTTATTATTGCTTTTGTTGACAAATAGGTACTTCATTTAAGTTGACATTCACTCCTTGTTTGTTAAATAAAGTATGCTAACTACAAATGAAGTTTACAAACATCTATGGCCTGCTATATAAATAATTCTACTCCAAATTAAGTTAACATCCTCCCATTGCCTGTTAAATACACTACTCTAAAAAAAAGTTGTCATCCACCTTTACCTGTTAAGTAAAGTATACCATACACAAAGTTAATGTCTACCCATTACCTGTTAAATAAAGCATTCTACTCTGAATAAAGTTAACATCCTCCCTTTACTTTACCTTTATCCGCCGCTTAAAAACAGCGGATAAACAGAGCTTCGATCTACAACACTGACATGCAAGCACTGCGACAGAATCTGCGCTTCAAACTTAGGAAGAATTAGCCATGAAAGAAGCTGGATGAAGACAACCTTGAGACCATCTTAAGCTAAATTGACCGTCTGCATAGACGAAAAGAGCAATACATCCGCCGCTTATACTCGTTTGTGTGTAGCGCGAAGAAAGAGACGTCTCTCTGCCACGAGCCGGAGAGCTTGGGTCAGGGGGACGCCATCAGTTATTAATATCCTCCCATTGCCTGCTGAATATTCTACTTTTAATAAAGTTGTCATCCACCTATTGACTTTAAACTAAAGTATATTATACCTAAACTTAACACACACCCATTGCCTGTTAAATAAAGTATGATACATAAAGTTAACATTCACTAACTGTCTGTAAACTAAAGTATACTTTAGCTCAATTTAACATCCACACTTTGATTGTTGCGTTTTTCTAGACCCGACCCGAGCTGGGAGATGTGAAACTCTTCGGCTCCTTCAAGATCACAGAACCCAACTCCGCTTATGCAGACTTTTCCGGGTAAGCCACCTTCAATATCACCAGTACTAACACTGGCAAATAAGACCAACCAAAACCAACACCCTCCCCCCCCCCCCCCCCCACACACGCACACACACACACCCACACACACACACACACACACAGAAATGTCTGATTTTCCAACTGAGAATGTCTTCATGTGTCCCAGCTGGAACATGTATATCTTTACATTTGCGTCTACTTTTTCATTCCTCTGGTATCCTTAAGATGTCGAGGGGAGGTGCAGGTTTCGTTCCTGTGCTAGGTGTGGAGCGCAACATGTATATCAATGTTCATAAACAGCGCAGGACGCCTTAATTAAATTTCAGAAAGTGACCAAAGTTTGTACAAGCTGTATCTAGATCAGAACTTGCAAATCTTTCTATACCAGCGACCACTTTTGTAAGAGGCTGCTATTTTTGTCAATTGACGTCGGTTGTCTAGTGGTTAGGCTACCGACTAGTAGTCGTAATCGTGGGAAATGCACTTTACAAGATTTCCCACTTGGCTCGGTCCTTTCAGAGAAGGATGTTTAACTCGGAGGTCTCGCCTTATAAATGACATAATAGCATTGATAGGGGTGTTGAAACTGTACAATTTTTACTTTCGTCAAGCCCCACTTGCATGTGCTTGTAAGTGGGACATTAAATGGTACTTGTTTCTTTCCGAGCGGTCCCCTTCTCCCACCAACATTCCCACATCCCCCATAAGGGAGCGATATCGCCCAAACTTGGTTCATTTTGGTTTTTGAATTGTAGGCCTATCAATACCAACTGACTAACCGTCAGTTTAGAAGAAGAAGAAGAAGAAGAAGAAGAAGAAGAAGAAGAAGAAGAAGAAGAAGAAAAAGAAGAAGAAGAAGAAGAAGAAGAAGAAGGATGAGCCACCATTGAGTCGATATGAGCGTAAAAACACGTACCTACATTACTTTTGTTCCCATGCAGCGAGGCTGGAGATGGGAAGCCTACAGTGATCTACCTTAAGGACTACACCGAGCCGCTCTATCTCAGCATCATCTCTGAGGAGACCAATGAGAAGGATTGTAACAGCACCTTCTTGGTCAAAATCCTGGACAAAAACGCTCTTATAAAGACAGGTAGGTGGCAGTTCTGTCACTTTCCAAGAATTACAAAAGTCGACATTGCCATAAAACACCTACTCAATCAAATCAATCATAAAATTACAAAGTATTTTTCTCATTTTGTTTTAGTAGAGAATTTACGGTGCTCGCAGCTGCTTAAGGTCATACGAGCGCCAGGAGATTAGAGGTGTTACAAAAGAGTAACAAACAAAAAAAAGAAGAGGGGAGATAAGGAAGCTAGATATTTGATAGGAAAGAAGGAGCAAACCCTATCAGAGCACCCGTCAACCACCCACTATTTTTCTCAAATCTACAAAACCCATAATAATAATAATAATAATGACAGTCTTGTTGTTGTTCTGTTTCGATATTGAAGTGGCTATTTTGATATGGCTGTTCATATTGGTTGTGATTTTTTGTTGTCACTGATGCTACGACTGAAGTTCTTGATGCTGTTTTTGTCGTTTCTTCTCTTATTTCTATGGTTACTGTTGTGGTCTGAGTTTGCCTACTCTTCCCCATTTGTGGGTCCTATCTGCTGCACCAGAGGCATCGGAGCTGTAGACAGAGAAAAGGACCAAATGAAACAAAAGGGTCGTTTTTTTTTCACGGATCTATAAACAGTTGAAAGGGCTGTTGAATCCATACAAAATTTATAAAAATCTCTTCAATGTGCTTAACTGACTTTCTTTGTTAACCACTTTAGAATAAACGAAATATCATACACACACACATACACACACACACACACACACACACACACACACACACACACACACACACACACACACACACACACACACACACAG